TTAAAAATTGAATTATTTAAAAAACTTCTTAATAAACTTAAATTTTTTCTAATAAAGTTGATAAAATATATATTAAATTATATTTTTTATATAATAATTATATTATTAACATTAATATTTTATTTTTTGTTAAAAAATTAATACTTTTTTTTTATGTTCACAGACAAATTTGCCTGCTCTACAGTTTAAGGGATAGCATTTAATAATAGCATTGACGAAATTATGGCTAGAGATAGAGTAAGTATAAAAAAAGCTAAAGGACTAATTTATGATTTTATACTTACGCAGAATCCTGATACTAAGCGTCCCACTCTGTATAAAAAAATCGAAAGAACTAGGAAGATTTACAGGTTAACTGAAACAATAGGGTTAGATAAGATCATATATATTAAATTATACAGTGCAAACAGTATTTCAAAATTTACTAATGAAGAAATTCAAAGAGTCATAAATCACTTTACCAAAAATCTCGATATGGAATTTACTGATGATTCTGAAAACGTAAAACAAGATAACGAGGTTCTAGAGGGATCTGATCAAATTAATTTATTGGAGGTCTCGCCTCTAAAAGAATCAACTGCACCTATTTCATTAATCAATGTCTCTTAATTTTTCTGATAATTCCAAGAAAGAGGCATGGTTTGATGAAGATATGTTTTTCAATAAAACGAATCCTACTAAAGTGAATATCACTACTTTAGATGATAATGATGTGTATTTTGATGAGGCGAATGAAGAGGTCCCTTCAGGATCAGATAATACGCATGATGGTGGCTCCAATTCATGTAATAATGACTCTGATCTCGATAGTAATTCTGAAGATAAGATACCAGATGATTTAGATGATGATGGATATAATGGATATGGTAGATATAATGAATACAGTAAATGTGATAGAGGTTATTATTATCATGGCAGAAGATACAAAAGAAAAACCTCTCCAATGATAAGTCCTATTATATCTCTAGTATCTGGCCTCCTTCGGTCAAGATCTTCAGAAGATAGCGTATCTTGATAGGTTATCTTTTTTCGAATAAATATGAGAAAAAAAGCTGAATTGAGATCAGCAAATTAATAGACAATAGGGTTGCCATAATTGTTTCATGTTTTGCAACAATCGTAGCATCTGGAAGCAATGGTTCTACAGTATTATGTTTTGCAAAATCAATCTATAATAACTTCTAATCCATGATGTAACACAGTAAAAATTCCTAACTGTCAAGGCTAGTTTAGGTTCCTATGATCCAAATGCTTCATACCTTAGCTTGTTTTGAAGCTAGCGATGTTCTGCATCTGATCGAATTGGTTTGGGATTTCTAAAATATCTGGATTATGTTACATAAATGATTGAAATTTTAATTCTCATATAGTGCTAATAAAACATTTTGAGACTCACCTTTTTTTCTCATATTCATTCGAAAAAAGAAAAGCTATCTTGATAAGCTATCAGATAAACAAATAGGGCAGACAAATACAGTTCCCATCAAAAGTAATAGCAGTTGAGGCATTGCTTCTTGTGTAGACTACAGCAACTCCATTATTCCAATTTAACTCATTGTTTATTAGATCAAATTGGATAATGGAATATTTATATTAAATAAACAATAAAAAAAAATAAATTAAAACCCTTTTGAACTTTTTTATTACTTACTGAAATCACAATACCATCAACATCTATTAAAGTGAACCACGAAGTTATAAAGTTCTTTTGGAATAGAAACGTACAATATTTGGGCTATTTTTTAAAAAAAAATTGAGTAAAATATTAAAAATATTAGTTGCACAAAAAAATTTCAAATGAAATTTTTTTTTAATGAAGAAATGGAATAATCTTGATAACTCAATATTACTTAGCTGTATTAATAGCATGATAATCAAATTCAAGCATGTATTGATGCAAATGGAAAACACATTACATATTAATTATCTAATAAAATTTATAAATATTGTTTTTATCTTTATTTTAAAAAAAATTTACCTATATTTGATATAAAATTACATGTATAAGATTAAAAAAACTGTCTGCCATTACTTTTGATAGGGACTGTATAATCTTTATGAATTCAAAAGAATACCTTTTGGATTGAAGAATGCTTTTTTTTTCCTATTAATGTATGACGGCTAAAGAGAACATTAGGAGGAATACCTATATACTAAGTAAATGTTACCCTTAACATAACCCTTTTAAGTTTCTGATCTTCAGTTAAAAGATACAGTATTAACGTTACTCTTTTCGTCGAATAAGTTAACTATGATTTGAAGTCAGGGAGACAATAGCTATGATTTAAATCTGATCAACTTGACACACTGTTTATTAGAGAGTTTATTTAGTTAACAAGAATAAAATTATAAGTTTTATGTTTGCAAAATGTTAAGATTGTTTATTATTATTATTAAATGTATATTAAATACAATGTTGGGATCTTGTTGGAATCTGTCCTTTTTCCAAGGCATTTTCATGTCCTTTATATAAGAAAATTACAATTAAAGAAAATCTATAGTATTTATGATACTACTGACAATAATAACAGAGCTAACAGATATGCTAATTATGTTAAATATGTTAAATATGTTATAAATGATAATAATGATATAAATAATAGAAATATAATAAATAGTATATATATCCTATTTGACAGATATAGCATATTTAGCAGATATGGCAGATTTGGCAGATTTGGCATATTTGGCATATATGTCATATTTGACAGGTTCATCAATTTTTATCAGCTTTTTTTATTTTTCTACGTCTGTATCTCCTTAGAGGATTTTCATATATATTTTTACTAAATTTGATTATACTTAATAAATAAAAGTATTACTGCGTCTTTAAAAAAAAGTTAATTGGATCAGAATAGTTTTGGTCTTGTTTGAAAGAGCAGAATTTAACAAATCTGCATATCAAGTTTGAAAGGACTCAGTTTGATAGATGTCGAAATATTCACATTCAAAGTTTGTTACAGCAAATCATTTTTTTATTTTTTTATTAACTCTCAAAGCTATTTCATTTTTTTACATATTAATATACAGATTTTCACCTCCATTAGGTTCCAGATAGTAAAATTAGTGTTCAGCATCATTACTTTTCGGACAGTTCCTTTTGTTTCAGTTCTGGTATTCACAGTTACTTGATATTCTTTCGTAATAAACTGCAAAATAATTGCTTTCAGTTATTCTCAAATATCTCAGGTTTGAGTGATTGGATTTGGACGTTTTTGGTCTTGTTTGAAAGAGCATAACCTACCGAACTTGCATATCAAGTATGAAAGGTAGCGGACTGGTGGATATTGAGATATTCGCGTTCAAAGTTCGTTACGGTATATTGTAACTTTATTTTTTAATATATCATTATTTTTTTATATTTTTATATGCAGTATATTATTTTTTATACCCCACTGGCATTTTTTATTTTAATTTTTTTTAATTTTTTTTTTTTTTTTTAGATTCTCATAGTATTTTTTTTAAAATTCCTCTTCCATTGATAATTTTTTTTTTATTATTTTTTTTATTGATTTTTTTTTAAATTCTTCACCTCTAGTATTTTTTTCATTATTTTTTTTTAGATTTTTTATTAATTTTAATATCTTTTTTTAATCTAATTTTTGTTAATTTTTTTTAATATATCTATTTTTCATTATTTGGGTAGTTCTTTGGTCTTTTCATTAATCCTTTCATTGGTACTTTCATTGGTGGTTCATTGATCCTTTGTTAATAGTTTATTAGTAGTTTATTAGTAGTTCTTTGAGACTTTTATTAGTAGTTTTTTGATCCTTTTATTGGTGGTATTTGATCCTTTCATTGGTGATTCTTTGGAACTTTCGTTAGTGATTTTTTGGTACTTTTGTTAGTAATTATTTAGTCCTTTTATTAGTCATTCTTTGATAGTTTATTGGTGGTTTATTGTAGTTCTTTGGTACTTTTGTTAGTGATTTTATTAGTAGTTCATTAGTAGTTCATTGGTAGTTTATTAGTAATTCATTAGTTATTGTATTAGACTTTTTGTTGGTAATTATTTGGTTCTTTCATTAGTAGTTCTTTAATCCTTTCGTTGGTAGTTCTTTGGTCCTTTTATTGGTAATTCTTTGGTACTTTTATTGGTAGTTTTTTTGGTCCTTTAGTTGGTAGTTCTTTGTTTCTTTATTTCTTTAGTTTTTTGTTTCTTTACTTTGTTATTTCTTTGCTTCTTTTTTTCTTCATTTCTTTAGTACTTTCGTTCTTAGATTCTTTGTTTTTTTACTTATTTTATTCTTTGTTTTTTTTTGCTTTTTTGCTTTTTTAGTACTTTTGTTCTTGGGTTTTTTATTTCTTTGCTTTTTTGTTTTTAGATTTTAGTTCTTTACTTTTTTGGTACTTTTATTTTGTTAGTTTTCCTTTCTTTTCTTTCCTTTCTTTTTCTTTTCTTTTTTGTTTTTCATTTTTTGTTCTTGTTTGTTTTTTTTAAAAATAAAATAAAGTAAAAAGAATAAAGTGAAAATAAAATAAAAAAAATAAAAATAAAAAATAATTAAAATAAAGATTTTGTTGGATCTCAGCAATCTGTTTATTTTTTGTATCATGTTATGATTTTTGTTTATTATTTTTCTGAATTGGGTGATTAGTAGTTGCACAACTTGTCTAAAGAGATAGTATGACATTTTTATTAGTGAAGCAACTGGTATAATATATATATAAAGATAAAAACGATGATAAATTTTCTACTTTTTTATAAATAATGTTTTAACTTTTAATCTAAATTATTTTTTATTTTGTGTCAAATTCATGAATAAGATTTTAAATTCAAAAAAAAAAAGGAAAGATTATTCGATTTTACCTTTTTAAAGAAGTCTTAATCCATTAATTTTTAATTACTTATTTTCCAATTTCCTTTTTTTGTTGATCATTATTACAAATTAACCTGCATAAAATTATCTGAAAAAGTATTTTTTAAACTCACTAAATCTATACACAAGTGTTATATTCACCTTTATTTGAAGACATCATTTTCATTAATAATCTACAAGTGATACAGGATATTTTTTATACAAAGATAAAAAATAACTATAAAGTACTCAATAGTCAAAATGATGATGATGATGATAATACCAATAGCACGATTCTAGTAAAACTTTAACTACAACATCTTTTAGTATCATTAACATATTTCTCACCTATAATATTGATTGGATTAGAAGTTTCTTAGAAGATAAAGAAAATAGGATATCTATTTATAAATCATTATTTCTAATATAATTATTTTGTTTACATTTATCATTGTATAGGATATTTTTAAACTCAATGATAATGAGAACTTCTTAAATATAACTCATCCTATTTAATATACTTGTCAATATTTTTTAAATACAATTTAACCTTCCTTCTCCTCTCTTGTAACTATCTCTTTCTTTTCTTCTTCTTTAAAGAGTAATACTATATCTTAAAATTTTCAATATCTTTTAACCAATATAATTTATAATAATTTGAATTCAAGTTAAAATGCCTTATCAGTATAATAGATTTCTCAAATTTCTTTGATAACCTTTTATATTTATTATATTTATGTTTAATTATACCATACTTTCTACTATGAATACATTCTTTACAGCAAATTATTTGTAGTATAAAGATCATAATAAATCATATAAATAGATAAAAGACAAAATTAATAAAGGTGTTTATTTGCTATTGTGATTCTCTAAATATATTTTTATTTCAATTAAATAATTAATTTTTTAAAATTTTTTTATTCTTATATAGGTTAGATCAGTGCCATCTTTTTAGGCTAAAAATTGGATAGAACCTTTAAATAGAATTATCTAGTTCATCATCACAGTAAAAATTAGCTGACTAATATTTTTTTGATTTATTGTTTTATTCTTTTTCTTATTTTGATAATTAGTTTTGATTACTAATTTTATTTATTTTATCTTATTTATTTGTTTTAATTTTTTTAGGCAGTTTTAGATTAGATCATCAATGATTTTTTTAGGCTAGATTAGTTTATCCCTTTAGCTAAAATTATCAGATGAAATAGGATTTTTGTTATTGCAGTATATATTTTTTAATGAATTCTTTGATTTTAATAATTAGTAATCATAATTATTCTGTCAAAATTTTTTTTTAAAAAAATCATATATAAACAATGTTGTTCCTATTAATATTGATATTGATATTAAAATTGATATTGAAATTAATATTAATATTGATATTGATATTATCAGTGTTAGAAATAGATGTTATTATAAATATAGAAAATATCACATAGAAACTATTAGATGATAATTTGCAGCAATAATCAATAATTACTGCGATAGATAAATTAGAAAAATATTAAAATTCTATATGATTTATCTGATTAGCCAAAATTCACCTGATTTTCTGATACTGTGAACTTTAATTATATTTGTAATAATAGATAACAGTTCATTCAAAAATGTTTTCATTATATTTACTTATTTCATTATTTATCTTATATTTTATATCTTTATTTTATTATTTTTTATTATTATTTTATAGCCAAAGTTTACTAAAATAGTTAGATTATAACATAATAAGTAGTTAGTTATAGCAAAATTTATTTTATATAAATAGAATAACTTTTTACTTAAGTTGTAAATTAACTCATTTGTAAGTTACTTATGAGTTTCAGTATTATAATAAGAAATCAATTTAAATCTATATAAATTTACTTTTCTCTTCAACGTTGTTTCTCGTCTAGAATATATTATGATATCTTATACTAACTTGCTATTAAGTTCATCATTACGAGTTCAATTAACATATCTTAAATTCTAAGATACGATAAATTACTGAGTTGATTCAAGTATAACGGATACTTATAAGACTTAGAAAAAATCCTTAAGTCAGAAACTCTAACATGTAGAATTAACTGCTGTAATCTTTCAACTTAGATGTTAAAATAATTGAAAATGAATTCAATAACAATAACAATATCAATATAAAGAAAAATGGCCTTATAATTACTGCATGAAACTAACCAAATTAATATCTTTTCTTTCCTTTTTGGGAATAGCTATAGCTTTCATTATATAAAGTAAAATCATCTAACACTAACATCTATATAGCACAAACTGTATATAGTATTAATTAATCTAATAATGGCATCAAGTTTTATAATTTTTTACTAATGAAATAATATAATTTACAATCATATGATCTGTAACATTATTTCACATACTTTACTCAACTTACCTAACATCATCTAGAAAAATTAATAGTCAGATTTTATTTGATAGGTATTTATTATTAGGATTAGTATTAGAGTTAGGGTTTGAATTAAGGTTAGAATTAAAATTAAGGTAAAATTAGGATTAGTTTATGGGAATCAGTAAATTTGTCACATTGCATCACATCCCAGCTGTTTTTTAATTTACTAAGTATTCTGGAGACTTAGAAATTATTTTGAGAGAAAAATGCTAATTGTTACAATTATATGTCACCTCTAATAAGAATTTGTGATCTGACAAATAAAATTCAATTACCATTTTTTTTAGATGACGCTAGGGCTATTTACTTTACTCAACAGTTTTACTACTATACCTATTTTTACACTTTATCTGTTTTATTATAATAGGCTAATTTTATATGTTGGATATCAAATTTATTCAATGTTTTCTCTTTTTATTATTACTCCTTTCTAGATAGATTTGAGGTATGTGAGCATATGAAATTAATTTAAACAAGATATCTTTTCAAAAAATGAATAATTATCATTATATAGAAAAGGTCAAATAACTAAAAAAATAATATTGACGCAGGACTAAACTAATTTTAAATTCTTTCTAAAAGAATTATCAAAAGGTCATTTAATTTATAATGTTAAAGTTTATTGAATTATAAGAATCTATTTATTTATAATTGAATTATATATAAATAAACTAAATCTATTTTAAAGCTTATCCTACACGACATGATTGTTAATGTTAGTTTTATAAAATCATTCATTCAAACTAACAACATTTATATTAAAAAAAACTGATTTATAACTTAAAAAATTTAATATAATAAGTAAAATAAATGTCATTTTTTATTTAAAAAAAAGAAATAGTACTTTTATAAAATTTTGGATTTGCAAGTTATTACGCTTATCAAACACACTTTTTGAGTCATCCATGATTTTTTATTATTCACTTGTGTGTAGTTTATTTATTTAACAATAACTATAATTATCGCATATATTATTAAATATTTTAATTTCTTTAATAACACCTAATTTTTTATACATTTCAATTAATTTGTTATTTCTTTCATCCAATATAATTGTCTATGCTATTTTCATAATAATAGTTAAAGAAAGTGGAATACATAACACACAATTCGTATAGCATTTAAAGATAGTCTTTAATCTCTATTTAAATACTATTTCTATATCTATGTAAGATCCTATTTCTAACTTTAACTTGTAAAATTTTTTAGGCGAAAATTCTACAACCATTTTTAAAAATTCATGCTCTATTATATAGTCTTCACAATTATCACTGCACAAAAAATCAAGACTTTCTAATTGTTCATAACCTTTAAAAATTACTTTTAATGAATCAAAGTAATTCAAGTTTATATTTGAATATGTAAATCATAATGATTTCAGATTTGTATAAAAATTGGCTATAGCTAAATTTAATAAATTATTAAAAGAATAATTTTTTTCAAGATCAAGTTTTTTTAAATACTTTTCATTAATTTCTAAGAAATTGATCAGGTATCCAACTTTGGGACATTTATATTTAAAAGTTAAAATTTGTAATTGTGAAAGGATAAATGTTAAAGATTTTTAAATTCTTCTAATATTTTTTTTCTAATAAATGATAATGAAAGTTCTTATAAATTTGAGAGCTTAGAAATAAATGATAATTGCATGTGACAAGATTTTCCAACAATGTGTAACTTGATTAATGTGTTTGAAATTTTTGCTAGTGATTGCCTTTCATTTAAATGTTTGTCACAATAATCCAAGTCAGATTTATCTGAATAACTGTAATAATAATCATCAAATTCTGCTTCAATCAAATCATCATCAATATAATCCAAGTACAAGTCCAAGCACTTTAAATCTTTTTAAACAGAAATTAATTCTGTTAATCCATTTGAAATGAAATATTCAAAAGTTATTTTTAGTGATTGTAAATTATGACAAATTCGAGATATCTGATAAAAAATTTCAGGATATAAATTTGAACTACATAAAAATTCAGGAAGATTACTTAAACAATCCTTTCTTCCAGGATAAGCAGTGAATGGAATATTAGGGATGTTGTCATTTACGTTAAATTCAAAATATAAAATTTTCAAAGAGGTTTGATTCATAAACATTTTAAATATTTCCCATGTTTATTATTAACAAGTCTTTTTGGAGTAGAAGGTTGATGATTCCTGAGAAATCTTATAATTGCATGATGAATACCATTAATACAAAGAATTTTGATAAAAGCTGTATAATTAAACAATGGTGGTTTTGAGGTTGATATTATGATCCCATTCTTATATAAAATTGCTTTGGATTTCTTAGGAAGACAAGTGATTAAAGTTTTAAAATTTTGAATTCTTCTCCATAAAATTCGAACAGAGATTTTACACCAAAGACGGTTCACTAACAAGCATGAGCATAAATCCTTTTTTTTCAAGTATTCAAAATTTTCATTTAGGCAATCAGCAGGAAGGAACAAAGTCATCTTTTTTTTTTTTTTTTATTCGGAACAATACTTGCCGATCATATCGGCGTAATTTGCTAACGCATTGAAAATTTTTTGACTGAATTCGTCATCATGCTTCCCGCATAATTAAACATATAATTGTAAACGACCAAATAATTGTTATTATTAATATAGAATTTTAAATAGTACTATGGATTTATTAAACTGTTTATGATTTGTATAAAATCAAGCATAATGTATTATTTTTGAAACTAAAAATAAAAATCGAATTATTTTTTAGTGCAGTAAATGCGGCTATTATTATTTTAGGAAAGCACGAGGCGTATTAAAAATCCTTGCATCAAACCTAATTGATTCCTGATTAAGCTTTTTCTTATTAAAAAAAAATAATTAAAAACCAAACTTATCTCATTGAAATTTAGATTTAAATACATTGAAAAAATTTTAAAAATACATCATATAGTCAAAAATAGAGAGATGCTAATGGTCACCGATATCGGTCGGTCAAAGGCTTTTGACCGACCGGTTGACCGACCGATTCTGACCGACTTTGACTGACCGGTTGACCGACCGACTTGAGACTGAACGACCATGTTTTAAATAGTAAAAACTCTTTGTATTAAATTAACAAAATCAACATTTTATTTTAATTATCTATAAATTAAAATTTTTTAAATTTTAAAAAATAATTAAATTCCGCGATAATGCTGCGCTACTAAATAAAAATGACGAAGTAATTTTAAAAAAAATGCCATACTAGTATTGAAGCAAGAATCAAAATTATAATATTTGACTAAATTAAAATTTCTATTAAGTCAAAACTGCTCAATTATATTATTAACCGGTCGTCAACTGGTCAGTTAAAATCGTTCAGTTAACCGGTCGGTCGGTCAAGGCCTTTGACCGACCGTTGACCGACCACGACCGACCGTTACCATCCCTAAATATCATCGCCCGAAAAGCAAAAACAAATTATTATTTTATTTATTCACCGCTGCTGCAAAATATTGCTAATAATCAATTTCATTAATTAAAAAAATTATACAATAACTTATCAACCAATGAATAATAGAGTTTATTAAACTTTTTTATAATAGAATTCGGATATTAATCCACTCCTGTGATTTGTGAAACCTTCTAGGAAGCTTTGACGTATACTTGTTTTATTCAAAAACATGGTTGACCTATATGCTCTCTTTATCTCATCAATGAATGGTTTATCTTTTTTGTTTTGCCTATTTGAAAAAATTCTGATTGATCCATCTTGCTCCTTCTTATTTGAATTCTTTTATTCAAACTTGCTCCTATTTGTAATCAAATTATTTGCCATTTTCCACATCTTTTACTTCGTGATTTAATCATGCTAAAAAAAAAGAGGAAGTGAATAGAACAACAAATGTACTGATAGATTTATAAATTGTACAATGTTAGCTAATGGGAACTTTAACGGCAAATTCTTTTTCAGATTGAGGATTGAGTGTTGATGATGTAATTTGTCAACACGATAATGATCCCACTGGCTTTCCGATAATGGAGTAACATTCTTGACAATCTCCACCCATAGAGCATAAGCCGATAGTCGTTCTTCCAGAACTACAGGAAGGGAAAACCCGGAGAAAATTTACAAGATGTGTGGAATGGAATTGAGGTCTATATATGGGAGGTTTGCTATTAAAATCACGTTACGAATCATATGACTTAATATGTTCGTAAACTCAAATTACCCAATGTTTTTAAATTTAATTGAGTCTTGCCAAAAAGGATACTGATGTAATTTACACAAGAGGTAAGTCAATAATAGTTCAACGTCAAAATGTAAAACAAGGCGTAGTTTTTTCACGTGATTAAATAGGAATAAATTTTATAAAGTTTGATTAGAACCAATAAACTTATATGATTTTATGAAAGATTTATGTTTAATTGAGCGTATAACCAATTATAATGAACAAAATTTCTGGCAATCCTGAATTTTCAAATATATTTTTGAAATATTTTCCTACTCAGATCTGGCCTGTAAAAGTCCAAATTTAGAAGCCCGGACTTAATAATGACAACTCGAACTTGACCCAATATAATTAATTATTTACGATGCGAAATTGAAATAATTCAATAATATTTATATTTTACAAATCTAAAATAAAATATTCAATAATGTAACTTGACAATAATAATACATATTTCATTATAAAATACAATCAGCAGTTCAATTAATTTTTGTTAGAATTATACCGGTACTATGTTAATAAAGAAGAGATCTAATACCTATGTATGACATTAGAAGGTGACGCTCAAAAATATGCATCGCATCATATTTATTAATTTTAATTTATTAGCGTTGACATCTACTTTGAATGCTTGTTTGCAAGTTAAGGTTGATGACTTTCCCTAGGAGGTTAACTTTTCTAGTGAAAGTGCGGATCTAAGATAGACTTCTCCTAAAATTTCAAGATAAAGTTCAATTTTCTTGTTCCTATATTCATAAATAAGGTTCTTAGTATAGTCCGGAAGAACCAATGAAACCCGTTGAATAATAGAAAAAGGTTGAATAACCGCCGCCCTATAAATGCTTGATCTATTAAGTAATTTCCGAATTTCATTCTTTAATCGGTTGATTAACGATTAATATTACTTAGGCCGATACAATAACAAACAAACAATAACTTAGCAAATATTTCTGCAATCATAGAAATCCTTATTCTGGCCGAAATTGAATTTTGGTCGGAGTTAAAATCATCTATTTTTAACCGGTTAAAGATTTCTTTAACTAATCTTAGTTATTGGAACCAACATTAAAAATTTTAACCGGTTAACTATTTTTACCGGCTATATTCCGGTTTAAACAATTAAAAAATTAACCAGTTAAGTTTAATTATTTTTAAATGTTAACTTAAAATGGAAAAAGTTTTAAAATTTTTATTTTTATTTTTATTTTTATTTTTATTTTTTTTGTGAATAATTGCGAATACAAACCAAATTGGAAAACAACTAATTACCAAAGTAAACCGAGTAGATACCATATAAATTATTTTACCGATTTACTGGATTTAAAAGTTTTGAAAATTGTCTAAATCTGGTTAGAATGTATCATAATATTCTACCTCTTTTATTTATATAGTCAAAAAATTCATAGTTGAAAATTAATTAAAAAAAAAAAACTCATACCCCCATTAGTAATTATCTAACAAAAGATGATCTGAAACATTCCAAAAAAAAATTTTTCGTGGCTTAGAAATTTGATTAATGTTGCATGCATTTTTTTTAATAAATCAACATGCAAGCTGCCAACGATTCGAATGAGTGGAATAATTGGATTGAAGAATCTATCTCAATAAAAAATATCAGATACTATGAATACAAACATTTTAGTAATTTTCAAGTAATTGGAACAGGCAGTTTTGGAAAAGTTTATTGTGCAAATTGGAGAGATTCAAAGCAACATCTCGCATTAAAATCGTTTCATAATTTCAACAATGACACTGTTAAAAAACTTGTTCACGAGGTAAATTGTAAAATAAAAGATAAAATCTTTTGTATAACAAATCTAAAATTTATTTTCTAATAATTTAGCTTGAACTGTTGATTTTCATAACAATATCATCCGCTTTTTGGGAATTACATCAAAACAAGGTATAAATAATGTGGATATAAAATGACTTTTGCATTTTATTTTTAAATTAATATAATTTATTTTTAAAAATAATTAGATAATCTAAATGAGCAATTGAAAAAATATTGGTTAGTAATGGAATATGCTGACGGCAGTGCGCTCAAAAACTATTTGAAGGGTAATTTTGATAAGCTTGCTTGGGAAGATAAATACAAATTGGCATTCCAATTGGCTTGTGCTGTATCGTGTTTACATAACGAAGGAATTTTGCATCGTGATTTGGTAATTTTTACATCCCATATATTTTCTTCTGAATATTGCTGCTTAAAAAATTGATTTTTTTTTTTTTATAGCATTCCGGCAATGTATTAATTCATCAAGGCGTCATTAAACTAGCCGACTTTGGATTATCGAAAAGAATTGATGCAGCAACTAGTCAATCAAAAGCTTTTGGTGTAATTCCTTATTTGACCCTGATATTGGCAAAGTATTCAAATTGCTCCAAAAATACAGAGCGACAAGGATCTTTGGGAAGAACATACAAGAGAAAGAGATTTCGATTGGGAAAAAAGATGCTACGAATCATACAACTGAATCCGTAATTTGATAGATGAGTGCCATCACCAGCTGGCCCGATGGTTATGTCAAATTACGAGATCATTTTGCTACCTAAATTCGAAACATCACATGGTTCTCAAGAATAAAAGAAAGATCCAATCAAGGACAGCCCGCGCAATGCTAACCTGGTCGCATTTTATATTTTTTTTTGATTTCGAATGTTTCTTTTGCACAAAATAAGAGAGTACAAGTATTGCAAGGTCATTCAGTGCACCGAGGAGTACACTTCTAAGACATGTGGGCATTGCGGAAAAATCAATGGCAAACTGAGTGATTCTAAGAATTTTTGGTGCAATTCGTGTGAGGTGGAGATGGATCGGGACGTGAACGGGGCGAGGAACATCTTACTCAAATTGTTAACGGAGGGTCAGGTTTTGGCCTGACTTTAGGACTTGAACCTTTATGGGATACGATTTGACTAATTCTGTTTATTCATGTTGGATTTTTTCAAATTATAAAATAAAAGCCGTGTCAATTTTGCATAAACTAAAAAAATTTAACTTGCCCAGCCTAAACTTT